ATGCTGGAGTAAAATGCTGGGGCTACTGAAAATTTGAATCAAGGGACTGAAGCAGAGCGGGAGTAACAGAAATCGCACACGATCTGCACATACTAATCATGTTCCATCAAACATTAAAACCTTCCAGGCGGTAGATATTTTCGAGATTACGAGGAATTAATATTTTCGAGATTGCGAGGGATGCAGAGGCGGGAGTATTCGGGGAGCGAGCTAGTGTGCTTGACACGCCGGCTATGGACTGTAGCCGACACACCTTCTCGCGTAAGCCATAGGAGTACTATACACCGACGGTGCTCCAGGATATTTTGCACTACATCTCACACGGTTGGTGATAATAAAATGTGTGGGATCTACTTGATTTTTCATCTTGATTTGAATTACATAATGGGGTCACAACGGCAATGCACGTTGTTTGAATTGCTAGACCTTTTATCTGTAGTGAACATGCAACTATATGTGTGTCGTAAAAGAATTGGAATTATTCGGGATTCTTTTGGACATTTTATACATTAAACTGGTTTTCTAGCCATTTCAAGTGCACAATTCAAAATTAAACTACATGCACATGCTCCAGTGCATATAAATTGGTTGAAAAATCAAATTTGTGTCCTTGGGTGCATGCTTAGGTCCCATGCAAGAAATGGGAATGAATTTCAAACACCAGGGCACTGTTGATTGCTGGCAAAACATTGAGATACCTGGTTTTTAAATTCTAGTAATCCAAAACTCGTCTGAAATTCATTAAACTTGGCATGGTATCATGGAGCCGCATCAACATGCATGGTAAAACATTTGTCCCATTTGGGGCAGGTTTGGGTATAAGCTTCTCACAACAAGCCTGATGGTTTCAGTACGGAACATGCCACCTGTGGGGACAAAATGATATCCGTTGCCTCTTAGTGCTTTCAAAAAATTTCTAGTGTGAACATAGAACAACAGGAGTGTTCTGTTAAGTTTAGGAAGTTTTCGGGGTTCGTTTGGACATTTTTATACATTAACTAGGTTTTCTAGGCATTTTATGTGCATAATTCAAATTTGAAATACATGCACATGCTCTAGTGCATATAAATTGGTCAAAAAACCAAATCTGTGTCCTTGGGTGCATGCTTAGGTCCCATGCAAGAAATGGGAATGAATTTCAAACACCAGGGCACTGTTGATTGCCGGCAAAATGTTGAGATACCTCGTTTTTAAATTCTAGTAAATCCAGAACTCGTCTGAAATTCATGAAACTTGGTGAGGTATCATGGAGCATCATCAACATGTTGTGGTAAAAAATTTGTCCCATTTGGGGAAGGTTTGGGTATAAGCTTCTTACTAACGAGAGCGTCTCACACAAGCCTGATGGTTTTGGTATGGAAGGTGCCACCTTTGAGGATGAAACGATATCCGTTATTGCTTTCAAAAAAATTCTAGTGTCAACATAGAACAACAGGAGTGTTGTGTCAAGTCTAGGAATTTTTCGGGGTTCGTTTGGACATTTTTATACATTAACTGGGTTTTCTAGGCATTTATGTGCATAATTCAAATTTTAAATACATGCACATGCTCCAGTGCATATAAATTGGTTGAAATATCAAATCTGTGTCCTTGGGTGCATGCTTAGGTCCCATGCAAGAAATGGGAATGAATTTCAAACACCACGGCACTGTTGATTGCCGGCAAAATGTTGAGATACCTGGTTTTTAAATTCTAGTAAATCCAAAACTCGTCCAAAATTCATGAAACTTGGCATGGTATCATGGAGCGGTATCAACATGCCGTGGTAAATCATTTGTCCCATTTGGGGCAGGTTTGGGTATAAGCTTCTCACAAACCAGAGCTTCTGACAACAGGCCTAATGGTTTTGGTGCGGAACGTGCCACCTTTGGGGACGAAACGATATTCATTGCCTCTTATTGCTTTCAAAAATTTTCTAGTGTCAACATAGAACAACAGTAGTGTTGTGTTAAGTTTAGGAATTTTTCGGGGTTCGTTTGGACATTTTTATGCATTAACTGGATTTGCTAGGCATTTTATGTGCATAATTAAAATTTAAAATACATGCACATGCTCCACTTCATATAAATTGGTTGAAAAATCAAATCTGTGTCCTTGGGTGCATGCTTAGGTCCCATGCAAGAAATGGGAATGAATTTCAAACACCAGGGCACTGTTGATTGCCGACAAACATTTAGATATCTGGTTTTAAAATTCTAGTAAATCCAAAACTCGTCTGACATTCACGAAACTTGGCATGGCATCATGGAACGGCACCCGACATGCCGTGGAAATTTTTTGCCCCATTTGGGGCAGGTTTTGGTATAAGCTTCTCACAAACGAGAGTTTCTCAGAACAAGCCTGATGGTTTCGGTACGGAACGTGCCATCTTTGGGGACGAAAAGATATCCATTGCCTCTTATTGCTTTCCAAAATTTTGTAGTCCCAACATAGAACAACATGAGTGTTGTGTTAAGTTTTGGAGTTTTTCGGTGTTCGTTTGGACATTTTTATACATTAACTGGGTTTTCTAGGCATTTTATGTGCATAATTCAAATTTGAAATACATGCAGATGCTCCAGTGCATATAAATTCGTTGAAAAATCAAATTCGTGTCCTTGGGTGCATGCTTAGGTCCCATGCAAGAAATGGGAATGAATTTCAAACACTAGGGCACTATTGATTACCGGAAAAACGCTGAGATACCTGGTTTTTAAATTCTAGTAAATCGAAAACTCGTCTGAAGTTCATGAAACTTGGCATGGTATCATGGAGCGGCACCATACATGTCGTGCTAAAAAAATTGTCACATTTGGGCAGGTTTGGGTATAAGCTTCTCACAAACCAGAGCTTCTCACAACAAGCCTGATGGTTTCGATACGGAACGTGCCACCTTTGGGGATGAAACGATATCCGTTTCCTCTTATTGCTTTCCAAAATTTTCTAGTGCTAACATAGAATAACAGGATTGTTGTGTTAAGTTTTGGAATTTTTCGGGGTTCATTTGGACATTTTTATACATTAATTGGGTTTTCTAGGCATTTTATGTGCATAATTCAAATTTGAAATACATGCACATGCTCCAATGTATATAAATTGGTTGAAAATCAAATATGTGCCCTTGGGTGCATGCTTAGGTCCCATGCAAGAAATGGGCATGAATTTCAAACACTAGGGGACTGTTTATTGCAGGAAAAACGTTGAGATACATGGCTTTTAAATTCTAGTAAATCCAATTCTCGTCTGAAATTCATGAAACTTGGCATGCTATAAATGGAAAGGCACCCGACATGCTGTGGTATTTTTCATGTCCATTTTGAGGAGAAGGCACACTCGAATAACAGCTAACAAAGGCATTTTGAAAAAATAGCTGCCACTTTAATATCTCAAACCGTGTGCGTTCTGTTAACCATTCACATGACCCCATGTGTCTTAGTTTTGATGGTTGTAGGAGGTGCCTTGTAGACAACTACTTGACTGAACGAGAGGCGTGCGAGCGCAGTCCGGTGTGCAGGCTCAGCAGGAACCGTGCAAGTTGTTCAACGCAGGATCTGTGCATCTCTTCAACGCAAAATGTTCAGATTATGGTATGCAAATGAAAGCCAGACTTCAGCCTAAGCCAAGAGACACTGTGATTTGTCAAAATATGCAGCTAAAAATCAATAGTGCTATCTAATTTTTCTAATTAAAATTCAGTAATTAAGCATAGATTTCATTCATAGAGATTAAGCAGTCATTCTCACCGGGAAGCGAGACAGCCTTGGACCGCCGCCCGCCTCGCTCCCACTAGTCTGTATTAATGGCGCGGCCGAGCGGTCACACCCCCCATCCTTGCCACACACACAATCCTCTCTCTCTGCCCGCGTCCTCGATGCCACTCCGAGTCCTCAAAGCCGTCAGTGTAAGAGGATGCCACCGAAGCGCCCCATCGGAGGGAGTGGCGACCCCGGGGTTGCTGAAGCACCGGAGCACGTTGTGAATATGGAGACAGAGGTTTCCGTTGCTGCCAACAAGGTGGAGAACGAGGCTGACAACAAGCGGAGGTGGGTCGAGAAAGAACCGCGAGCGACTCCAACAGGCCTAGACTTCATCAATAACCTCCCCGATGATATGTTGAGAGTCATCATATCCCTCCTCCCAATCAAATATCAGCCGAGGACAACCACCCTTTCCTGGCGGTGGCGCCCCCTATGGCTCCTCACCCCTGTCGACCTCCTCGACACCCACGAGCTTTGCCATGGCTACCGCCAAAGCTTGGATGCGTTCACCCAGATCATCAGCAGTCACCATGGCCCAATGAAAGGCCTTATCACGGGCATGTTTTGTTCCAATGGCAAGGACTGAGCCAAGCTTGATGAGTGGTTTCGATCCCCCACCATAGATCAACTCGAGAAACTCAGTTTTAATGATGGGCATATGCGCTTACTGCCAACGTTCGTGCTCCGCTTCGCTCCCACTCCGCGCCTCGCCAAGTTCATGAACTACCACCCCCCTTAATGATGTGCCCGCTCTTTTTCTACCATAACTGAAGCACCTTGAGCTCATCGCCGTTTGAATCCCAAAGGATGACATGGAGCGCCTGCTCTACGGTTTTACTACACTCGAGTTCCTTTGTCTTGACGCGATGAATTGGTCGAGTACCTTGCACATCACCTCTAGGACTCTCCGGACTATTTATGTGTATTGCTGGTGCTGCAACGAGAGATCGCAAAAGGTGGACCACACTATGGTCATTGAGGACACACCTTCACTTGAGAGATTACTTGTAGTTGATCAACAAGGTCCAATAAGAATCAATGTCATTTCTGCGCCGAATTTGACAGCGGTGGGCTACTCGTCTATCAAATACTTTCAGGTACAACAGTCGCCTTATACCTATGCTTCTTGATATCGATATTATTCCTAGTTTTGAAGATGTATGTTCGTCTGTCATCTAGCAAAGCTTCACCCAGATTCTGGGCACAGTGAAGGTCTTGGCACTAGCATACAACTCTAGCATCTCAAGGATTGAGGCCACAATCATGGCAAAGGAAATTTATTCTAGTAGACTTTTCTTTGAGATCTTCACCATTACTGCATGGAATATTTGGAAGGAGAGAAATAAATTCATCATCAATCAAATTACTCCTTCAAATAGAGCTTGGTTTGAGAGGACTAAGGCTGACCTTACCTGGCTTAGATATAGAGTGTCCCCTGATCTCAGTGATTATATCACTTCTTTTGTAAATTCACTTTAGACTTTGCTTGTTTGTTTTTCTTTTAGGGGACTTCCCTCCCAACCATGTAATTACCTATTATATTTAATACAGCATAGTAGGATCCTCTCCTACTATTTTCAGTCAAAAAAAGGTCTTGGCACTAGAATCTATCGGCCCCAACCTGGACCAAGTTGTCAGTTGCCTGAGATGCTTTCCGTGCCTAAAGAAGCTATATATCGAGGTGATGTTCCTTTCCTGTCGAATGTTAACCATAAGGGAGTTCAATTTTTTGCACCTTTTCCCGTTTTTACAATGACAATGTACTATGATTTCTCAAGTAATTTTGGAGGATTTCAGGACATACACCCCCACCCCATATTGGTTGCTTGATTCATATGGTTACAATCCATAAGCATTTCTCCTTTGGATTCATCCGTACTAGTTTTCTTAGGGATTTTTTCATCCAATCCAACCTCTTGTGAAGAAGGCTACATGTTTCTAGATCGAAACAAATGCCCATGTTAATCATGTCAGGTCGAAGATGGCACGTTGGTGCATTTTACAAATCCTGCAAACCAAATGGGCGTGTTGCAGTGTTCAAAACTCCATGTAGGCACTAACACATTCTCTTCTTTTGTAGATAATAATACTCCCATAGGTGGATAATGTTTATAATGACAATCACATCGAATGCCTGGATCTGCATCTCTCAAATATTACTTTGAACTCCTACCGAGGGACCTTACCGGATATTACACTCGCCAGGTTCTTTCTTGCCAGAGCAAAGATGCTGAGGGTACTGAGGTTGAACACGCATTTAATTAGGAAAGATAAATGTTATGTTGATCAGAGTCGGCAGGTACTACAGAATGGAAGAGGCTCCAAAAAAGCTAAACTTCGTATTGGAAGAGCATATGGCAAAGCTAAACTCCATACATGACTTGTCAGTGGCTGATCCCTTTTTCGAAATGACGATGTTTGCAATGTTTGAATTTGGGCATTGTAATCTTTGAATTTGAACCTTGCAATATTAATGGTATTTGTTATATAACGTAATTGGATGTTTTGTCTAATCGATACATGGGCATCCTGATGCAATGTTTGAATTTGGGCGCGCTCTGCCAGCGGTTGGGCGTGCACACGATCACGTCGGGGCCCCTATATGCATGCAGTTGCACCGCGCGCATTGCCATGCGATGCAGTTACACGCGGCACGATGGAGTTACGTGCTGCAAATTAGAACTGCCATCAGGGCCTGCCGATATTCCTGGCCATCCGCCTTCCCCTTTAATTCCCGCGGCCATTATAACCTTAGTCTCTCCAATCTTCCGATCGCGCCCCACAACACAACATGCACACCCATGATGACACATAGAGAGGGGATGTCTAGCGACGCTCCAATGCAGTTTGGTGAGTATAGAGTGGAGACCCACCCGAGGGAGACGGATCTCTCGGTGGTGTACACCATCGACCTGGCCGTGGTGGATGACTACATGAACAACATTGAGTAGTTTCTTGCTCGAGGCAAGTACAAGGTGGTCGGCATCGACCTCCAGTACACCGTCGGTCATCTCGGCATAGATCAGAAGGTTGTCGTCGCCCAGTTGTGTGTGCGCCATCATTTCCTCAGCTAACACTACTTCCTGGCCACAGAGCCTTGTGACCGTTTCAACAGGTTTGTCAATAGCACTGACCACAAGTTCGCCATGCTGGAAACCACCAACGATGTAAAAGCGCTCAGTGTTACAGGCTTGGCCTGCAAGAACCTTGTCGAAATTCGTGACCACTACAGGGTCTGGGGCAGCATGAAGGACTCCCTAGTTAAACTCGCCTCGGCCATCATCGACCCCTAATACAAAAATATGAAGTAGGATGCCCAGAGAACAAGTCTTGTATCCTGTCACAGGGCCTGGATGCGGCAACTGTACGAACCTCACCTCAGGTTCGCGGCCAAGAGCATGTACACATGCTACAAGATGCACAGGCAGATCGTTGACATGAGGAAGTGCCTCTTTACCCAAATCAACGAGCCCGGATGGAGCCACAAGCAGAGCAAGCGTCACAAGAAGTAGATGGCGATCGATGATCGTGTATGCTAGTTAATCATGCATGTAATATATTGTTTACTTTATTGGTGTGTGGAAATGTCATGTGTGTAGTAGCCACCTATGTTATTATGCATGAATAGTTTACTCTGGTGTGTGCAAATGACATGTTTGTAGTAGCCACCTATGTAAGTGGATGTTTAATTTGGTTATGCAACCATGTCCTTATAAGTGTGTGTGTGTGTGTGTGTGTGTGTGTGTTGTTGTTGTTCTGTATGCAATCCCATCGAACAACACACACGTCTTATTAGCGGCAACCGTTTGTGTTATTATCGGTCTTCGCACACATTTCTGATTACAGACCTGTTTACCACGTATTACACACATCTTGTTATATTGAACTGTTTCTGTTCTCTTGTCTCAACACAAACAGTTCATCCGAGTGAACCGTATGCTTTACATCGCACACACCTTCATCTGGCTGCCCATTTATTTTGTTCATCCTCATCGCAAACGGTTAGTTGAACTGAACTGTATGCCCTGCATCGCACATGCAACTTTTGCACCTCCATGTCAAACATTTTGCACCTTTTTTGACGGTTTTTTTACACCACCGTTTTTGATTATTGCATCGCACACAGTTTCGTCGAAGGGTCTCTAATCGAAGTGTCGCGTTGGCAGCATCCTACAGTAGTCTCTCTCTCTCTCTTTGTTTTTTGTTTTAGTTTTTGTTCCCTATTTTTCTAGTTTGTTTCTAAATCAGTAAAACTACTAAACCAATTTAGTTGCTCCTGATAAATGTGGTATGGACTAGATGGACTACTCCATAGTCCCTAACAATTTTTCAGAATTATTGGAGTTATAAATGCATATATATGAATTTATAACTCCAACTCAAATACATTATGGGTTAACTCAAAAATCCAGAAATGTCCTAGAAATATGTGCATCATTTTGGCCGAGGTCTTCACCTTTTTCGAAAATCATGAACCTTTCCAAAGGCCATTTTAGGTTGATTGAAATATTTTCAAGTTGAACCTAGTTGAGTTATTTTGGTGCTAGGGTTTGATCACCCCCAATTCAAATTTCATTTGAATTTAAATATGATGCAACATGCAGGTGCTAGCCTAGTGCATAGCAAAGCTAGGGATGTGACAAGCCACCTGCACTAAACAAGAATCTCATCCCGAGATTCAAGATGTGAGGTAAGAGGAAAAGGGGTCACAAAACTATCAAAATGTTCATTATCCAGACTGCACTTCATAAGAATGTTGATTCATTTCATCATATTGGTCTCGACGTCTTGCTCTGGGAACTTCATTCAACATGACAACGAGAATAAAGGGAAACTCTAGAAGGATCGATCTTCTCCAAGATTGAGCAACTGACAATCAACTCACGAAATGAGACGTGATAACATCTCTTGAGCTTAGACACAAACAAATATCTAGAGGGATGTAATAAGTAGATGGCGAAAGTTCAATTTGGTAGGCAAGAATTCCATGCTCAGGAAGATGGTGAATACATGTCAAAGTAGCAAGGCGATATATTGCCCTTAAGTGGCAAAAATAATTACTTTTGATACATAGATCCTTGACACTCTCTATAGCAGACTAAGGCAATTCACAAGCGATCGTTTGAAGGGGTTTGAAGAGATGACATACTCAGTTTGAAAAGGAAACTAAAGTTATAAGACAACTTGGCAAATGGAAGGTACATTACAATTGATACCAAGAATATAACCTAGTGTCTGAGCATGCTCTCAAGAACTTGAGCATCTCCATATTCATCAGGGTTTTACCAACATCTATAACAAGATTTTGGTGACACCTCGTCCTACCAGATGAATAATGATGGAGGATGAAGATGCAAAGGAAGACACCACTTTCTCATATTTAACCTTAGCAATGCCAAGGAACAAAACCTGGATGATCGATAGAGAGACATTTAGCACTCCACTTCTAATGTACGGCTTGATGTTCTAGGTACCACGATCATGCTTCGTAGTAGCATCGATATGGTACTCAAGTAAAGGTCGGACTCCGGAAACACAAGGGATTCACAAGGAAAAACTCCTAGAATATGTCATAGAAGATCCTCATGGGGGAGTGACCAAATGGCTTAATCAATATACTACAATAATAGTTCTTCTAGCTAGGTGTGTCCACTTAACTGGAACCTACATCATAGTTCTTGGCAGAAGTCCCAACCATCATATCTTCCTGAGATTTGGATCTGGTTGGCGACAGGATACTCCAAACTCAACATGTTTGAAAAAATATAAAGTTAGCAACACAAATTGACGAGATGATGTTGTGATATTATCGGGAAATGATCTACCATAGCAAGATCCAAAACATGAGCAAGAATGCAAGATACATGTGAACATGCTATGCAAGACAAGCATGACCTCAAAGAAGCCTTACAACAAAACTATCGTGGCGTAACACGATCACCTATGAGGCCATCGGCCCCTTGTGGTTCGGCAAGGGGGAAGGGCGCGTTGCATGAAGAGCAGAGGCCGCGGAATAGCACGACTGCGGTGAGGCTATGAGATTTTTACCCAGGTTCGGGCCGCTGCAAAGCATAAAACACTACTCCTGCTTTGGTGGATTGGATGGAGGACCATGACGAACATGTAGTGCTCAAGTCTGGCAAGGTTTCCTCAGGGAGAGCAGCTATGTGCGTAAGAGTGTACAACGGTCCGAATCCTATTTTAGGTTACCATGGCCCTCCTTTTATAGGCTTAAGGGGTTACCATAGTGGTGAATCAGTCATTGCCTACTGATTAGATAGCCAACAGTGCTATCATACCTAACTCTGTCAGTTAGGACAAAACGCATTAAATGCACTGCTAGGTGTCATGCTGAGGATGAAGCCCGGCAAGCCTGTCGTGCCGCTCAACCACCCTCTTGTATGTCTAGATGACACGCCTCTGGACGGGTGTCACGCAGGGTGGGTATTTTCTCCAAATGGCTGCCACGTGCCAAATGA